TTGGAAATTACCCAATTATTGTATCATTCTTGCTGTTCTATAAAATTTATAGAGTGCGTAGATAATAACAGTTGAAAGCTTCTAATTGAGTTTTTAACATTACGAAGATTTGAAAACTCCCATCAAACAGAAATCATTGATCCTTCAGTTCAAAAATATGGTAAATACTTCCTCGCTGTTTAATATTTCTTTATTTATTTCTAGGTTGACCGTTAACGCTTATATTTTGTTTCTTCGGTTCCAGCAAAGGTTCATTCTAATAATGTTAAATGTGGGTAAATAGGGATTGGTAAGTTATATTAATAGTAAAAGTGAAGGGGTTGAGGCTTTTGATCACTAGCCAATTATTTACAACGGAAGAAGTCGTATAAAACTTCTGAAGCTGGTTAAATGTAAAGAAATGGTTTAGAGCATGCTAGCCAAGATACCTTCAGCCTTCACTTATTTGACCAACGGCTATTGTCTACGCCTTTCTGTCTCCCATTAACTCCGATTAATCTGGTATTCTTTAGGAAAATGGAATTCCCTTAGATAAGCTATCCTTAATTTCGTTTAAATAAAATCCAGAAGGAATATCAGTCTTCATTCAGAGCAATATTTGTTTATTTTAATTGATATTATTCTTTTTAAAAAGTCTTCATACGTTAAAGATCATTATTTACACATTATTGGTAGGACCTTAATAAGTCAACTAAACTAACTATTGAAGTATGTTGTGCATGAGAGTATAGTTGCAGTGCTCCGACTGGATAATTAAAATTGTCAAATCGTAGTAATTTATTCCTTGGAGAGAAAATGGCGGTGTCGCTCAGTGCATCGGTAGTTTTCTTTCTCCATCATTAAGTAGATGTTTTAAAACAGCTTTCGTGCATAAATATCTATCCCTTCCGCCTTCTAGTCAGCCCAATTTTTGATGAAATGGGCGAACTGAGTGAGCGACCCAAACTAATTCATATAAGGTAATTTGATCCTGATTAATGCATTCTATTGCTTTGGAACCTGCAAATCAAAATGATATGTTGCAGAAACTAAGCATCTTTGAGCTCTATCATGTACTCTTTTCTGGAATATCCACAATATTCAGCTGCTAATTGCTTGCCTCCAATTCCAAAGTATGGCTTCTTTTACCATAGTTTAAATGTCAATCTGAATCGAAAATGGATATACATTTTCCTTATTTTTAAGATCAGGTGATGACTGTGGAGATAAAGCCATGAAAAAGATAATAGATCATCTGGAGATATAGGATGCCTTTATCGGCATTTGGAGATTGTACGTTAACATGCACCTTAAGACTATATATATATATATATATATATATATATATA